TATGTATCTGTGATTTATATATGGTTCTGGTCCGCTTTAGGGACATCATTGTCCTTTTACTAGGGAACATTATAAATCATCCCCATGCGACATATGGTAATTCTATTGATAGTATCACTAGTTTAGCCAATGTTATAGACTGACAAATACTGTTTAGAAAAGGAAAGTGGTGTGCACATTATTTTTTCCTAAGGGGAGGAAAACATGAATATACCTCTAAGGTACTGGAGGTTTCAGTTGTAGAATTTCCAGTATTATTGCTTGAGTTTGAAGACACTATTTCATTTTTGCCTTCATTATCTGATTTTTCATCGGAACTCATACATTCAATATCCGCATCAAAGCCTGTTGGGTATCCCATTGCTTGTAATACCTGCACAGATTACATTAAAATTGTTTTATTCAAACACCAGAGACCACAGAGAACAGATGAAATGGTTAAAATATTTATTTCAAATTCATAACATTTGGGTCCATGAAGTACCTTGCAGGAAGAACGAGATGGTACCATAGCTACAAAATTAAACAAGTTATACCTCCCAGGGTACTAATGAGAAATAGGAAAAAATCACCTCACAATAATTAGATTAAAAAAATAAAGTATGAGTGAAATGTAATCCTGATGTTGATTTTGAGTCATTTATTTGGAGATGAAAGGTAAAAGAAATGAACAGAACCAAATTCAACTAGTGGGACAGGATAATGATAAAATAGCACATAGTGAAATGTACACGGGCTGGAAAGACGAGGTTCTAATACTGTATCTCTCTCCTCTGGTCCTCAAACAATTTTCTAATATGCAAAATGAGAAGATTGGATTAGTTGATTTCTTAATCTATTGGATATGGAAATTGGCCTACAACAGGAATTCTTTCAACTTAAACCATAACTGAGGTTCAAAAGAAAATAAAAGAGTGGGTCTCTGGGTTTGTTTTCTAAGCTCAATGAGCTAGGCGTGCATTTCTACCCATCTTTCAATGCCTATGGGCACTTCCAATGATAAAACTTATTTTTCTAGTCACTTGCTTGCTATTTCTCAAATTCTTTTGAAATAAAGCTTTCAGAACATTGTTGTGTGTCTGTGCGTACCTTTTCATTCAATACCTCCTTCCAGATTTTACTGTTTTTTACATGTTTGTAAGTGAGTATGCTCACTGGAATTGTTATAGGTTTCTATCAAAGTAATTGTTATAGATTTCTTTCAATTACTATTAAAGGTTTATATCAGAGATACAGAGATAGGTTCCTAAACACACCTGTATTTGTTTCAGTTTTTAACGTTTTTAAGTTCCTGATGTGTAAAAGCAACATTGTATTTCCTTACAATCCCACTTGGACTTACATAGGTGCCTTAAAAAACTGCTACATTAACAACATTAAGAAGCCAGGAAATGAAAAAGCCAGAAAACCTGGCCTCTATAAGCAATGCCATCTTGCATAAAGGATTGTGCCAATGCAAATAAAACTACATTACTCTAAACACAATATGGGCATAGATTTATGTACTGAGAAAACACGAAATTAATTAATCCAATTCATATGGAGAATTTGGCATTCTGTTGAACATTCCAAATCATAACTAAGTTCTTTGTATTTATTTGGGAGTGAAAGCCAAGAACCCTTTTTTAATATCTTAAGTTCTAAAAGTACTTTTACACTAAGTACACTAACATCAGTTGGTTATATTTTCATTAATATTTTATTTTAAAAACACACCTTCTCCACTGCCTGAATTCTACAATATGCTCTTGCTGAGAATTTTCATTCTCAGGGAGTGAAATTTTCTGAGAACGGTTAACTTTGAAATGCAGACTCAGGGAACACAAGCTGCAAACCAAAAGACCTTCTCTCCAAAGAGCCTTCGTTCCTTGTCTCCCCCTAGTTGGTCTTTTCCTGGAAGTAACTAAGAATGTTCATGTAACGTGGCTCAGTATGTCTTTAAAAGTGACCCTCTGGGTAGGGGCTGACAAAGGAAAGAAGTGGAGGAGGAAAGGGAAGATTGGAAACTGCTCTCCACCATCTTAGGGTGTCTGCTGCTGAGCTGCCAGGCGCAGAGCTAGAAACTGGTTGCTTGTTGTTATTTGAATCTGTGGTGTGAATCGTCTTTAACAGGTACATGCCCCCTTCACTCAGCTAGTGAGTGAACAACGCAACCGTTTTTAACTTGTGGGATCTGTTTTTATAAGTAGATGTTAAGATATAAAGCTCTCTCTTAGAATCCTTTACAGGGCTTCTGAAACTTTTTCCCTTTTGCCTGAGAAATTTGCAACACGGTCAAGCACTACTAGAAATATCTTGGAATCATTATGTATTTGATTCTGAATTAATTTGGGGTCGTTGCGCATTCTGAAACCTTTTACTGTTTCCAATTTTTTCATGCCCACATTCAGCTATGCAACCCCACCTGAGGTTGACACACAGTTTAAGAAGCTTTGCTTTAATGAACAGATATGGTAATATGTGGTCCAGCTTATGTGGAGGGCATATAATATTCCTGAGGGTGCTATCTAGTAGGTGCTGAACTGCTAGCTAAGCCACCAGCAGCACTCAGCCTGTAAGTTCCAGGAAAGATTTACTGCCTTGGAAACCCTGTACAGGGTTGCTGTGAGTTAGAATTGACTCGATGGCAGTAGATACAACATCATTTAATATATTAATGAATCATCCAAAAGTGATTTCCTCTTAGCCTTGGAATTACATCTCTAGGACATATCTTTTTTTTAAAATCATTTTACTGGGGGCTCATCCAACTCTTATCACAATCCATACATACATCAACTGCATAAAACACATTTGTACATTCGTTACCCTCATCATTCTCAAAACATTTGCTCTCCACGTAAGCCGCTGCCATCAGCTCATTTTCCCCCTCCCTCAGGAACCCTTGATAAATCATAAATTATTTTGTCATATCTTACACTGTCTGACGTCTCCCTTCACCCACTCCTCCATTGTCTGTCCCCCAAGGAGGAGGTTATATATAGATCCTTATAATCTGTTCCCCCTTTCTCCCTCACCTTCCCTCCACCCTCCCGGTATTGCCACTCTCATCACTGGTCCTGAAGGAATCATCCGCCCTGGATTCCCTGTGTTTCCAGTTCCTATCTGTACCAGTGTACATCCTCTGGTCTAGCCAGATTTGTATGGTAGCATTGGGATCATGATAGTGGGTGGGAAGGATGCATTTAGGAAGTAGAGGAAAGTTGTATGTTTCATCGTTGCTACACTGCAACTGGCTCATCTCGCTAGGAGATATCTTAAGGTATAATCATGCAACTTTTAGAAATGTAGAGCAATAAACTGTTAAGCTTCTAAATCTAAAAGTATTAGAAGCAGTTTGAGATTTGTAATAATAAATAATTAGGCCTTCACTAAAACTAAGATGCTATACCATCACTGAAAATGAAAACATTATTTCTGTAAGATAGACAAAAATTCACAATGTATTTTTAGAAAAATACCACCTAGCATAACTCTATTTCAAGTACATATTTTATATGCACATTATGTAGGCCCACTATTTCTTATCTTAAACCCTTGAAGTCAGATTATGCTTTGAAAATTCATAATTTTTCACAGTTTTAGAACTCTAACATTGTATATAGACTCCACATTTTACAATGTCCCCAATGGAGTTCTCAAGTTCCCATCCCATGTTTTCACAAAGAAATATATTATGTTTTCATACCAAATGGCATAATAAAAACACAAAATAGTCTCAATTTCAATTCAGGCCATAATTTGCCACCCCAGTGAAGTGTGCAACAAACTTAGGGGGCAAACTTTTTTTTCTTTTCTTTTTCACTGTGTGTGTGTGTGTGTGTGTGTGTGTGTTTGGAACTGTAAATATAAACTTTTTGTTGTAAGGGTTTAAAGGACAAATCCATTGTCCATTCAACTATTCCTATACATTTTGTTTCATCTCATTGATTGCAATCCCCACAATTTACCATCACTGATCACACCTCCCTCCTTCCTGCTTTCCTGTTTCTAGTCCTTGCTTTCTAACCCACCTGAACTTTGTTCTTGGACAAATGCAGCTTATTTTGTCTCGTTTTAATCACAAATGGTGATTATTCTAAGGTATGTATACTTCACTAGTGTTAGTGTTACCCTTACAGGCTACTGTATAAGCTGAGTTTTTCAGCACATTTTTAATGCAGTTTTTGTGGTGAAATTAGGTGCCTCGGCTGATATTCAGGTCGTCTTATACTCAAGTATATACACTGTTGTTTTACCAAAACTCAATGACAAACAATGGACAGTCTATAAAATTTGGTCCTGAAGGTGAGTTTGTTTCCAGACCTGAAGGGTGACTAAGGGCTAGT